TCGAAATTCAAAGGAAGTAAAAATAAGTAATGTAAAATTTTATTACATGTACTGCTTTCTATCCTTTGTATAATTGAGTTCACAAGTGAATATCTTTGCTATTACGATAGAGAATCAGAACGATAGAGTTTCAAATTCCTATTTGTGCGTCTTGTGACGTATGTGGGCGAATTCGAGAGGTCAATTATCTATTGTGAAGGATTCCTTGATAAAAAGAACGTGGATCAAACTGATGTTCGCAACAGTTTAGGACAAATCTATGCTCTTATAAGTGGTCATGACGCTAGATTGGCTATGGATAGATTACGCATCTACATCCTGTTTACCTTCGCAAGAGCTCCTTGAGATATGTTTTCTGTTTTCTCTGCAAGTGATAACGATCTCTCCTCACTGTGAAACACAGAGAACGATCAGAGAAACGTAAAATAACATTGCCTTCATTTTTTACTTCTTTTATCACTCATCCTCAACAAAATATTCTTTATGTTATTCTCCATCTTCTTCTTTCTCGACTATTCTACTGCCTGATTCTCCAGTTACGGCCATTCAATACTATCAATGTTCAACTGATGGATCGTTCTTCTGTGCAAGGTTTTCATAAGAAGACGGGTGTAAGCGTGTGGTACAGGATGTGGAAGTGGGTATGGGTACGATTATTCCAACGGTCGGATTCACATCCTAAGGCACATCTATACCCACACTCACACCGACACATCGAAATAATTCGATTCGATTCGATATATGGTAATGTTATCGACAAGCAAACTTTGGAAATGTTTTTAGAAAAATGTTGATTGTAAAATGTAAGAGAACAAAATGATAAGTGTACGATTGATTGTATATTTTGATTTATTTTTTCTTATGGGATTGGTGCGAAAGAAAGTGAACATTAACTCATTTCGTCCAACATTATTTAGTTGGTTTCTTCTTTCAAACAGGTCACATAAGAAAAGATGAAAGTTGCATGTTTGTCAATTTAGTCCCCTTTATTTTCTTAAGATGCAACGAAGAAAAAAGTTAATATCTTTGAGAGACTTAGAGGTTTAGTTTTTCAAATAAATGTAAACTATTCACAAAAAAAAGTAACTGAAAGTAAAAATAAAATGGTGAAGTGATTCTTAATTTATAAATCACATTTTTTTGTTCTAACTTGGATTTACCATCGACTTCTACAATAAGTAAAATAAGTGGCAGAAATGGTTATATGCACACAAGTTTTGTTCAATTTAAGTAGAAACTATTATTTCAGCAGTACGTAAATCTAAGCCTAGCACTAAGTTAATTGCTTCATAACCACAAGTTTTGTTGATCAAATCGAGACAGTGTCAGACCAAAATGAGGGAAAATACGTCCCTACACTTCATGCAGTAACATATCATGAATACAAAAATGAGGCAAACTACATCAAAGTACAATTAGTTCAAAACCGTTTAGACTTTATCCTTAATTTAGGAAAAAAAATTATTGATATAAGTGAGGTTAATAAACAATGTCTTATAGTTCTATTAATTGAATAAGAAATAATTATTGTTAATAATGTTCATGTTTCATATTATGCTCTTGTTAAATTTTATATACTTGGTCATTTGGTTTAGCATCTTATTGATGGTACAATCGATTATTTAGACAAACGTCAGATGACAATACGTAATCTATACTTATGTCAATATACTTCTTCAATTTTTCAAGAATTTACCTATTGCAAAAGACATTATTGTTTAATTTGATACATATATTATAATTGTAGACATTGATCAATTTTTATAATTTTTTTTTTATTTCGTTTCTTTTAATTCAATCAATTTGATTTATTTCAGAATAAAGTTTATTCAAAGATTTTTTTTTCTTTTTTGAAAATATTATATTCATTTCTTGATATTTATAAATAAAGTTGTATATTATGATATACAATAATCTCTAGTAAACTACAGAAAAAAAAATCTTGGTTGCTAGTACATGTCAACTATCATTATTGTTCTATCCAATAAGTACTAAACGTACCACCACGCGTACAGAATGTTATGTACACGTGCTAAGGACGTTTGGTTGACAAGAATATCTCATCCAGATGTTCTGTGGTTATCGTTATAATCATCGAGTTCTATTCATTGATAAATTGACAAAATAGTCGTAAAATTACTGAAAAGTCACGAGATAGATTTAATTATAGATTTACTTTTCAATTTAAATATAAATCTAATATAATAATAATTCAATATGAGAAAAATTTCAGTTTTCATCTATTAATAAAATTTTTAAATGGAAATTTGAGAAAAAAAAGTCAAAATATCAAATAATGCCATAATTTATGTGAATTAACAAAAATCTATTTTTAGATATCAACAATAGATGGAATTTTTTTTTTGTTTTCTCAGTCATCAGTAATATCAATTAATAATTATAAAGTCTAGTGTAATGATATGTAAAATATCATGTGATTCAATAATTCATACATTATCAATTACCGATAAATTTAGTTTTAATTAATTGTTTATTCTTGTTCATATTACTCAATATCCATTGTATTTCTACTTGTTAATCTTTTAATGAATATAACGGCAAACCAAATGTTTCATCATTCAGAATTTACTAGATAACAATAACATATTAACGAGAGAAGAAGAACACACATATGTCCTTCATATGGTACTACATCCTTTCATAGATATCAGAACAATCATTCAGTTTACGAAGGAAAGTAATCGATAGAAAGAACAATGTAATCTCCGCAGTTGTTTATCGTTTTACCTTAACCAACCCAACAGCATATGTCCCGAATTCCATTTGCTCTGTTCCGCTTTTATTTTCAGAATATATCGGTTCCGAGTGTCTTGCGGATAGAGCCTGTTACGTTGGTTCTGAACTTGCTCGAGTTTGGTCATAAAATTTTGTATACGACAGACCTTACTTACATAATAGAATAATGAAGATTTTTCAAAATTCGTGTCTATTTCACAGAACTCTAGATATTATTCATTTATAAATATCTCAATTTGTATGTCTTAATCATAAATGAGGTTCTGTTGTTCGGATGATTATTCAATACATGAAGTGTAAATTATATATGTAAGAATAAATATATTTACGTGATTTATGCAGATGATAATTTATTTAAGATACAAAATGAATTTTTCTTAGAAATTTATTTAGTTGAAAAAAAAAGAATCTAAAATAAGAACAAAATTGAGCATCATCATTATTAAATAACGCTAGTCAAAAAAAACTGCTATAGTCAACACAATCAAATTTGTTTTACGTATTCACTTACGATGAATATACACTTGGTGCTTTATGTTAGGCATATCGAACAAAATATCTTTAAAAAGAATTGTTAAATCGTTGGACAGTTATCTGCTGCTCGAGCAATCATGCTTAAATATGTATCGTTGCGAGTTGCAAGTAGAGAAACAATCGAATTATTATCTTACATGTAGATGTATTTGACTGAGTCTTAAACTGGCTAGCAAATCATGGTTCATCTGACTTCATAGAGATTATTAATGTGAAAGATATTAGATGCTATGATAAATTTTCAGAAACATTCTACTATAGATAATCATTCTTGTTTTCTTTTGAACTCATCTCTTTAAATACCATACGTCATCTTCTGCATTATGTTCTACTCTTGTTTTGTCTTCCTTGAAAGATATTAATTCTTGTGTTTTTCTTTCGTTGATATTATTGTATATTCCTCTAACAGATAGGCTTGCTACTACGTAACTGTCTCTTTAGGACCATTAAGGTCAAGCGATAAAACAAAACAAATAAATATAAAAAGAATATGAACAATATAATAAATCAATACAATTACTATTGTCAATTTTTTTTATGTAAATAAGCCAAATCTAATCCAAATATAGAACAAACATTATGTTATTGTCTCCTTGTATTTTTTTTTCAAAATTATCAGTGAACTGGAATAAATACACATTTGTATGCATGATTATTTCTGTCACATCACGTGTACATATTTTTTACTAGCTAATTCTGTGAGGAAAAAGTACAACAAAACAACCTAAATACGAAATTCCTAGATATATCCAACAAAATAATCGATTATGCAAAAAAAAAATAATAAAGAACGGAAAAACAAAGGAATATAAAAGCATCGCGGCTAATACGTTTATCATTCATAAGATTCTACTTATACAGAAACGATATCAATAAATAACCATTCGGAAATAGTAACATTAATTTTGTGAAGTACGATCTAAAAGGAATGTACACAATTACCTTAATAATACTCTTTCCATCACAGTATGCATTTTTCGTATGGTAGACGGACATGTGACTTTCTTGTTCGGAAATAGGTTTCTTTGCTCATTAATGATTGGATATGATGTAGAAAAGCATTTTTAAGGAATAAAATTTTTCGATCAAAACAATATCAATGTAGAAAAAAAGATTATTTTTTCTTGTTTGCAGAAGTTAAACGTGCAAATTAAATAATAGTTTTTACTATTATACAGAACTCGGCTTGTAGATTCAGAAAATGTATTTGATTGGTCTGTTGAAAAGTTTAGTTTTATCAGATATCAATTTTCTCAATGACATGACGATTTTCAGACTAATTTTTGAGCAACTAGTTTTCCAGTTTCTTTGAGAATTGTGACAAATTTATTTACACCATTAGATAGATTATATTTCGAAATATTGAAAAAGCATGATTTTCATTTTTAGTCAAATGTCCATCTAGATGTGCATTCCGTCACACACGCTGACAGTTGTCGTTGATATACGATCCAAGAACGTATATCAATAACATCTCGTTATAATGTATGAATTATTTCCTTATTATATTTCTGGAGGATTAAATGAATGTTGAAGAAATGTGTCTCAAAAATAGATAGAACAAAATAATCTAAGCATGATTAGCCAGGACAGTCACATCTTGTTTTACATTTTAATTCCAAAGGAATACCGCTATCAGCTTTTACATTTGAAAGTAATTTTTCTTAGGTTGATTGCATTATTTTAGAATTATCTGTAATTTCTAAATAATGAGTTCTTCTGGTATCAGTAAGTATATCGATACATAGATTCTTTTTTTATTTTTCAAATAACTTTATTTTCTAATATGAATAGCTGACAAAACAATTAAAGCAGGTGAAATTGCTCGAGCAGAAATTGCTGGAAAAGAAACTCCAGCAAGTGATCCTCGAAAAAAAGCTGATGCAGAAAATCAAGGTCATCTGAGTGGTGATCAATCAACAATCAAAGAAACTCCTGTAGCTCCTGTTGGTGCCACACCTCAAACAGCTGTATAAAGCAATGAAAAAGATACCCGAGCAATTAAATTTTTTCAATTAATCTCTATCAGTAAATATTCATTGTATATATTCCTTCGGATAATCAAGCAATTCTGCACTAGCCAACCAGAATGCACATATATATATATATTCATTTGTTAACTTTCATTTTTTTTCTTCTTTTACATAAAATAAAAATAAATTGAAATGAAATATTTTAATTGAATGAATAACAAAACAAATATTTCTTGTTTTGCAACTCGTTTTCATATATATCTTAAAATTTATGAAAGCATTAATTATTATTGATGACACTCGAATATAGGATAGAGATGTGTACATGCCAAGCTTTTCTTCGTACTCTGTACCCTGAGACTGAGAGAAATTTTCTAGTCTTTACTCTATCTTATTCTGCTGGGTGGAGTAGTATGATCTTGCATATTTCTAACATAGAATTGTTAGAAAATAAATGACATTCATTCGAAAAAAGAATAGAATTAAGATTTCAGTAAAAAAATTTTAAAGTTTTAATAATATTTTGATGTTTATAATCGAACGTCATTATCAGATATGAAATACAATCATTTATTAAATTTATGAATATTTATATTAAACAACAAAATATTGAAAATATATTTTGTTCCCATGATTTATTTATAACAACATTTTTTGATCTTGTTATTATAATCGTATAGTAGAATTTACTCTCAGCCACATAGAATATCATACACAATTTCATGTTATAATTATTATATTGAATTAGATCGAAATAAACAATATATACTAAAATTTCAACGTCAAAATAATTATCTTTTTTTTTTTCTCAAACTCACGTCGGATGAAGACATTTGATAATAAATATCGAAATATTACTCTAACTTTAAGTTTTTTTTCATGATATAAAATAAAATATGCTTTAGCTGCAACATTGCATTATTGAAATACATTACCTATGATAGAGATTTTAATCTCATTTATAGTTAGTATTAAGATGATCGGAGATTTTATAATTAATACAGATTAAGCCAAACATCTTTAACCTTTTATTCCCGATGGCGGATTCACAACAGTCACTGATAAAATAACCATACAAATAGGGTATATGTATGTCACTTTACTTGAAATCATTTGCTCAATCCAGTGATCATTGGAAGAAAAATGAGAGTAGAGCGATTTGTAAAGTCGTACATTTTTTCTCTACCACAATAATTTTGAATATACAAGAGTAATATGTTACTTTTTTTTTTATTTGACTAATATGATAAAATAAACCAAGAAGATGTAAAAAAAAGAGTATTCTTAATAGCACGTATACTTTAGAGACAATTCTTTTTTTAAACATTTCTTTACTCACAAACAATGGAAGGCTTTGTAATTCTGTAAAGTACTTGTAAAAAATACTATAGAGTATTTCTTGGAAACTCAAAACTACAATAAAGTATTTTAGAAAGTATAAAAATTAATATAATAGACTTCATCAATGAAAACGTACCAATAAGTACTTCCAAAAGTGAAAAAAAGTACTAACATGTATTAAAAAAAGTGAAAAATAGTCAGAAAAGTTAATTTTTTTACTAAATTAATATTGAGAGTATTTAAAAGTAGGTTTTTTTCACGTTTTTTTTACCTGGGATGTTTAAATATTTAAAAAAAAATCGTTCTCATTTAAAATTGTAGAATTAATCTTTCTTAATCAGGACGCATTGTGCATGTCTGACCTCCGAATGTCTGTCTATCGTTGATGTCGACAAAAAGAAGACTGTTTGTAATTCTGAGTTTGTTTCTTTTGTCAATGTAAAAAAGAAACTACAAACGATGAGAAAATGAGTAATCGAATACAATATACATCTATATGTCGTACAACAGAATTCAGATACACATTCATACAAAACTTAGAAAAGAAAGATTGCACATCAAATAACAGTTCTTCAGAACAAAATTTTTCTTTTAAATTTCATTTAATTTTTATCTCATTAATTAATTCACTTGATAAATCAGTATCAGCGCTTGAATAAGAGATAATCCAGCTGAAAACAGCAGAAACAAATTTATTTTTCGTGTTCTCACAAAGTTTTTTTTACCGGTCAAAAAACAAAACAATTTTTACTAAAGTGTAGAACAGGATGAGGATGTGGATGTGAGTGTGGGTATCATCCATACTCATCACATCCAGATCCTCAAAAGCGAATGGGTACTTAGGAATATTACCTTGTTAGTAAGAAAAGAGTGTCTTTAACCAAGGAGATTTTTTTATTTTAATTTGAAAAGTAACCATGTTAAAATTTAAAAGTATTAATAAATAATTTAGACTAGACGAAAAGGTGGGCGTGGGTGTGAGTGTTGATATTAGTTAATCATCTTCATTTACACCCACACCCACCCACTCTCCTAGGTCCCGAAAGACTTTTCATAGTGAAAATCAGTGTTCTATATATTTCCTATATAACACAAGGAAGTCCTATAGAAATAGTAGTTTCAATTTCTATACCTTCACAAAGTGTTGCTACGAGGTCAGTCGATAACTCATTGATGTATGATCAAGATGTCTCCATTGACTAATACAATACAATCTTACCAAATCTCTATAGTTTTTTGAAAAAGAAACAATCGAAATTTGTAAAAGAGATATATAAGAGTGACAAGTCATTAATACATCCATATTTATTGTAAAATTACCTTGTAATTCCTTTTAAGGCATTCTTATCATCTGACATACAATATGCAATGTTTTAAGAAAAGGTAAAAATAGTGTATAATCTACCGATGCGCCGAAAACGTGCACGTACATTGACTAAATTATTTGCGTAAGGAATGAAAAATAGTTTAGTCTACTTTCATTTGTGATACTGCTTCTGGAAGCGTTTCATTTTATCATATTCTATAGAGAAAGTGAATACGACGAAGAAATAAAACATGTGCATCGAAGTAAATATTTGCAACACAGATGATCTTTTACCAGTATTAAAATTTTTGGTAATTCTTTCTTTTCTTTTAAAATATTTCAGTAATATAGATTTTTTTAAATATTCTATGTAGAGAGCTCAATTACCTGAATCGATTCTTCCTTGGCAACTACTCACTTATGTCTACTCGAAGGTAGTCGCTCGAGAAGACATTTATCCACAGGTCTTTGTTAATCATCCAACTGAAATCAAATGTGTTATAGTATTGTATTCTACGCCTGGTCTCGTTCACAATTGGAATCTTATTCAAAATTATACTCGCAATGTTGCGGTTGTTTGTGACAAAGAATATACAAAGAATATTCTTATCGAAATGTTAACAAAATGTGTTCCATGGAATCAGAAACTTATGTTTTGTGCTACTGAACATCATTATATAACATCAGTAATCGAACAATTCATAGAAGAGAAGAAAATTGGTAATTTCGAAATCTGGACATATATTCAATTTGAATTGGATAAAAATGTTTTTATGGAAAAATTGAAAACATTTCCAACAACAGTCCCACAAGGTAGCGATACACTTAGAAAAATATATAAAATCATTCTGAATTTGTAATTATAGGGGTTGAAATGCGACCATTGAAACCAGAAGATGCATACTTCATTATCGAAGCTGACGATTACAAATCATCTGATTTGTATTCCGTAGCTCAAATTCAATTTTGTATTAAAAAATTATGCAGCGTGGGTAAGTTCTGGTCTATTTATGTCAATGTAGTTTTATGTTGATCAAGATTTCATGTTGGAGAACACCTGCAAGGAAGAAAGTGCAGATTTTGAACTTCAACATCTTAGTACCTTTTCAGTATAATTTGGTTTATGGTGTCTGCACTTACATCTTTGAGAACGCCTTTGAAATATTCTGTGAAACTATCCATATGATTTTTTTTTGAAAGTGTTCTCAAAATGAACGCTTCTTCCTTTTAAAGCTTTCTTCAACAATATAAAACAAACTTAATTCTAAATTTTAAAAAACAGGTGCATATCGTGATGGCAAACTACTTGGTTGGCGACTCTTGCAATACGATGGTTCTTTCGACATGGTATATACACTTTCTGAAGCTCGTCGACTTGGACTCGCGTCTCTGTTGAGTGTTCGGTTGACGACAGAAATGTTTAAAATGCAGGAGCGTGTATTTGGGCATACAGCTTTAAATAATCAAAAATCAATCGAGTTGGCGGCTAAAATGGGATTTCATGAAACAGGTATATGTGACTGGATTGTATTCGAACCGAATGCTGTCTTCGTCAAAAGAGATCCACAGCATCTTCATGCACTCAAATCGTCAATCTAACTTTGCTTTTTAAAAGACTGTTTCAATCGAAATACCTTTTTATTATCATAAAATTCATGGAAAAATATACTTACTATCAACGACAAGATTAACCATACACTTGGTTTTTGATCTAAAATATAGAGTTTATAGTTAGAAGAAATTTTCTTGGATACATATGCATAGTACAGATATAGATGTTTATAATACAAATAAAAATTTAGTTAATGGTCGGTTACTGTATATTTACTTTTGTATATTTTGTGTTTCTTCCCTATTTCGTTGCTCGATGATTCTATTGAAAATGTATGGACTAACTGAAGAACAACGCTGGTATATCATCTGTTAGCGAAAAAAAGCTCTATAAATATCTCAAAAGTAGCACATTCCTTCAAGTGTCACCGTAGTACAATATTCGGCGTCATTGATTATTATCATCGCCATAATGATGTAAATTATACAGATAGATATACTGCTGGTTGTTCACCTGTACTCGATTCAACACAAATTAAACAACTTGATCTAACTATACAACAAAACAGATCAGCTACTGCCGCTGAATTATTATCACTCACACACTCCAACACTACCGAACGCACGATACAACGTTATCGTTTATTTCTTGGTAATTGCCCTCGTAAGTCTCTTGTTAAAGTCAAGAGCAACAACAGAAATGAACAAAAACGATATCAATTTGCTGCAGCACATTATCTTGTTAACATCAAGAAGTATATTTTTGAAGATGAATGTTATGTGGGTTTAAGAAATACACAACAGATTTTGTGGTGTAAACGAGGAGAATCAACACCCAAGAGAGAAATATCATCTTTGCGAGCACATGTGAATTTAATTGGCTTTATTTGGTGGAATGGTTATGTCTTCTGCCGATTTGATAATTGATTAAATAGTGACACATATTGTGATACAGTTAATGAAGCGTTATCGGAAAATTTACGAAAATTAAATGAATTTCTATATATTTCTAATGGGGTTAAATACCACAGAAGTGCTCAATTCAAGCGATAGTGTGACCAATATAATATTGAATTATGTGAATGGCCAGGTTATAGTCTTGATTTTAATGCTGTCGAATTAGTCTGGAACATTATCAAACAAAAAATTAAAACCAAGAATCCAAAATCACAACGTAAACTAGAGAATGCTGTCGATGAAGCTTTAAATGATTTATCATGAAATGTTATTCAAGCATGTATTAAAAAGACTCAGAAACTATATCAACACTTTCTATCTTCATATTAGATTTTTATTTGTTCCCTAGACTGAAAGTATAGGGTCTAGAAACGGAAATTCGCCTGTGTCTGTCTGTCTGTCTGTAACACGTATGGTTACCATATGGTAACTATGTGATCGTTAAAATAAAAATAAATATATATTTCGAATGGCGCGCAAAGCCAATAAAATAAGATTTTCTTTCTATTCCCAAGACTGAAAGGCTAGCGTCTAGAAACCGAAATTCACCTGTGTCTGTCTGTCTGTCTGTCCGTCTGTCTGTCGGTAACGCAGTCAAAATGGCCATTTTTTTGGCACACGTGACCATTTTTATGGCATAAACGACCACTTTTTTGGCACAAGTGACCATTTTCGTGCCACAAATGGCCATTTTTTTGGCACAAGTGACCATTTTTTTGGCACAAACGGCCATTTTTTTACTAAAATTAACTAGGTAACTATGGTACAAATGAGCATGTAACTATGGCACAAACGGTCATTTTTTTGGTAGAAACGACCACATAACTATGGCACAAGTGACCATATAGCAATCATGGTACAAACAACTATTCCGGTAACTATGGCACAAATGACCATCTAAAGACTGATGTAAATGAACCCATAATAATCAGGGGTAAAATGTCAATGGAATAACTATAATTTGGGTAGTGATGTAAAACGGCTTACTTACACAAGCATTTAATTAGTGAGAGTCAGACCAAATGAGCAGTATGGATTTAAAGAAATCGTTTAAATTATTCATTATTGTAAGATTGATTGTGCAATGTTGTATCAATGAATATCTAATTTATTAATAGTTTAGAATTAATGCGTGAATTTAAGCATAAAATATTGATTAATAAAACTCAAATTTTATGAATAATATAAATCATATTTTTGTACGTACAAATAGCGCCAATATAATTATAAAAAAATCGTATTGTTGTCTAATCTTATTAGGCGCTATTTATATTCATAAAAGCAAAAAAAAAATAAAACAAAAACGATAAAAAAAATAAAATTTGTAAATGCATCATCTTTACTTAGAGTGAGAATTCTCCAAATTAAGTTTTCTGGTCGCCTAAGGTATACTGGTCATATTATCAATGTTGCGTATTACTTTTTTAATGTAGCTTTTTATGCTATTCCTTCCGTACATGTATTCTATCAGTCTAGGGCTAAGTGAATCGCTTGACGATGAACGTTACTTGTATTATAAACATCTATACTTGCACTATTCATATATATCCAAGAAAGTTTCTTCTAACTATAAACTCTATGTTTTAGATCAAAAACCAAGTGTACGGTTAATTTTGTCGTTGGTAGATAGAATTTCAATTCCACACATTCCTATATGTATAAAGAGTGTTCTCCCGCAATAAACAACTATTTTTCATTAGCCGGTTATATTCTTTGATGTTAGAGTTACTCATTGAAGAGATATATATCATTTCGGTACTAGTTCGCTGTAGAGATAATAGAGAACCGGAAAGAAAATATATTCGTCGAAAAATTTAACCAACGACAGCAGTGAAACGAAAAATGATAGAGAGATGATCGAAATTATCCCATGTCGGTACGACATCCTACCGACACATGTGTCGACACAATGACATGATGGACGTACGTGTAACACCACGTGTCGAGACAGTGAATTTTTTGTACGTTATGTGTCAACACATGTTTCGGTAGCGTGTCTTGGATAAAGAAAGGTATACTTTGGACTAATGTGCAGAAAAGGAAAAAAAACGATCATCTTCAACTTATATATGTAATTTAAACCCTTTGTTTCAGTTCATAATCCATTTATTTATGATTAACTGGGGTCAGTTTTTTAAATTAAACTATTCTTTTTTTTTAATAATTTCTAAATTAAATTATCTACTTTTTTTTAGATTTTTTAAAATAAAATATTATGCATTTCTATAAACTTTTTAAATGAAATTCTTGTTTATTTTTTACATCTTTTTATTAATTTATTATTGTACGAAATCCTGTACAAATCGAAAGTTTGGTTTTTCAAAAAAAGAAAAAGAAAATTATTTTAAATAGGCTTCGAACACGTCGTCAAAATCGGTGAAAGTTGCTTTAGAAAGAGAAAGTACAATCGTGGTTGCATACTTAAAGCTCAACAATGGGTTTTTGGTGCAATCGATCTCACGACAAAACAATGCTTCATGGTTGAAGTTGAAAAACGTGACGTACCTACATTAGTTTCCATAATTAGCAGTATATTTTGGCTGGTAAGTGATTTCTTTCTAATAATACGTTTAAAAATTCATTTCCTATTATAGGAACAACTATACATTCTGAGAAGGTTGCAACTTGTCACGTGACGAGTTGAATTTTTCAGAAAAAACAGGGCTTTCGTAACGCTAAAAATAGAGATATCGTAAAAAAATTTACAGGGCAATCGTAGCTGTTATTTACAGGGAGTTCGTAATAGTTGCAGAGTTTTCGCAACGAGCCAACAGGGGTATCGTAACGAAGTCACATATCAAACCACCGGTTACGATCACCCTGTAAAATTCGTTACGATAGCTCTGATTTTTTATTACGAAAGCCCTGATTCTGTCGTTACGAAACCTCTGTTGCGGGCTTTCGTACTGTCAATTCGTTACGAAAGCCAGACAAGAAAAATCGTGACGAGTTGCAACTTTTCCTACATTCCGATGATGTTATCGAGGTGACCCTTGGCTATCATGTTATCTTTGAATTGTCTATTATTCTACATTCGACGTGACCATCGTTGTTTATACTATTACTCAACGTCCGGTATGACTATCATTCTTTATGCTATTGTTCAACACGTCTGGCGTGATCATCTATCTTTGTACTATTGTTTAACATATGACACAACCCTATAAATACACACGCTTTTTCATTTCTTGTTAATAAACTGTATAACCAGTGCTAACAGATGAATAAACAGCTTATCGAGGGCTCCGAAACGAACCTGATTATGCCCATTTTACTGTAAACCATTCTCTTCATTATGATGACCCCCGAACAAAAGTACATACTCAAAATGTCGAGAATAGTTGGATGTGTATAAAAGTTAAACAAAAAAAAAGCATGTGGGCATACACCGTGTTTTATTAAAATCATACTTACAAGAGTATATGTGGCGTCAAATATTCAGCGAAGAACCCAGGTGCAAAAATCGTACGAGGATCATATAAGATCTTATACGATCTTACTGACAATTAGATTTTGTAAGATTCAGATTGTATGATCTTACGAAATCTTGCAAATTTCTTGTTCTAAGATTTAATATGATTCTTATTATAAGATGCTAGCGTCAATCTTATATGATTCTTGATATAAGATTCTTGCAAGATCTGAGGATGGGAGTCTTGTAAGATATTGTAAGATCTTGCCAGACCATAATTTTAAGATATTTCTCATGCAAACTAGTTTTTATAACGATAGCTTTATAGATGTAGATTACTACACGTGTTTAAGTGATGGAATGCTTCCTAATAGAAATATAATTTCTTTTTAAATTGCAAATACACGTTTTGTATACGGCGATGCTTATTATAAAAAAAGCACACCACTAATCAATTTGATTTGACTTGATTAAGTTTATTATTGTTTTGAATTTTATCTCGTTAAATTCATTTTATCGTTTATTCTTATTGAAAAAAAACATTTTTGTATTTGTTTGTAAAACTGTAATTAATAATAATTCTCTAGTGTAGAGGACACGTAAGCTGACAATGGCTAATATAGACTATATATATGAGCGAGAAACCGTTACATTCGTCTTATATTCTGGTATGGTGGAAGAAATTGGACGTCATATATTTTTTCAAAAATACAACTAGGCTTTTTATATTAATTTATAATTCTTCAAAATTATCCAGTTTTGTTTTAGATATTTGAAATTCGTATCGATCTTATTTAGTCTTTTTGGTTTCATCGACTGAATTTCGATATTTCCGGGTTTATTTTGACTCAAACTAATGATGAAAAATATTATTTTATTTTACTTTCAATCAATGTGAAAGGAGTTAGTTTCATTTGATGCATATGCTTAACTTATTTCAGTTATGTTATAATTAATCTAAGAAGATTATCTACTTATAGTCAAAATAAAATGAAAGCAATTTAATGCAACTATACTTGTTTTACGACAAAATAGATTTACTTTCATAAGATTATTTATTTAATAGTCTGGGAAAATAAACTAAATTCAAAGTGAAGAGATTTATCTTACTTGAAATAAAGTTAAACTAATAGAATTATTGCATTTATATTTTTTTTTAATACAAAATTAATATTCAATTTGATAATATTATTTAGAATTTACATTATATGGAACTAAATTAACCTAATTTTATCATTTTATTTTATTTCAATTGAAATAAAATTAACATACTAGATTTTTTCTACAATTAAATTAAATTATTTTATCTGATCATTTCAACTAACACAAAATAAATATAATAAAATTATTCATTTATGATTAAAATAAAATCAAGGAAATCTTATCCAATATAATTTGGTTAAAACCGTTTTCCAAACTACAACTTTGTAATTAATTAAGTCCATTTCAATATTGAACTCTACTCTATATACTAGTGGTCGATTATTCGAGAACGAGCTTAAAATTAACATCAAACCGAACTGTGATCTGTTTTTGATAAAATTACGCATTACTCATTGCATGTTTTCATGTAGAAATGATAAATATTTTTTTTATTTAAAAATAAATTTAGTCGGAGACGAAGTAAAATGATAAAAATTTAGCGATAAATGTTTTCTCTTGAAACAAAGAGTTTGAAGAAGGTAACTCAGCCTGTTGAAAAATCAGGCAGAGGTGATGAAAAGTGCAAGAATATCAATCATGCGATGCATTCTATAGTTGTATAGAAGCATGTATGAATAATGCAAGATCTTATGAGATCATACAATAAGATCATATAAGAATCGTACAGTACGATGTGATCAGATGTGCAGGCTTTACGACTATCTTATAAAAATCATACAAGATCATATATGACTTTCATACGATCTTATATGATCATATAAGATTTCACAGTAAGATCTTGTAAGGTATTGCAATATCGCACAAGATCTTATTGTCGGATTCTTCGACCTGGGAACTCCTGGGGTGTGGGTGTGGACGTGAGTGAGAAGATGATCTACACCCACCCATATCCACACCCACACTCCACCCTCAATGCTATTCTTTTATTGAACGATACATTTGACAATTTATAAGTAGACTTTTAATGTCTAATTGATATACTATATCTTTTTCTCAACATTATATTATAGATGATAAAAAACAAGCAAAGTTGCCACTTCTTCCGTTTTTTGCGGCAAAGTTCCACTTTTTCATATAGAGAAACTTTTGTTTATTTTTTATTGAAAAATTTGAGACAATAGAATCCGTTACTATGGTGAAGATTGTGTTAACTGTAGAGAACTGCGTGAGAAACAATGTAACAGTCATTACGAAATCAACTAAATTTCTTGTCAATAATTTCTTTTTAAAATCAGAATTTTTGTACGCTGTAGATTTTTTCCTTTGATGAGTTTTCTACAAACCAATGCACTTTCAAGATCCAATCCATGTCATATTGAGGCCTGCGAACACATAGAGGAAACCTGAATCAACTTTGACTTCGATTTTTACGACTCCAACTTTCTCTTCGTGTTCGTAAGCCTCGATGTGATGTTGATTGAACCTTCAAAATATATTCTACAAGTATGATATGATTGACATGGGTGGAGCTCTGATTTATGAATGAAAGAGATTCATGATGTTTCACGTTTTTATTTCACAGTAGTTAAACTGAAAAGTTTTATTAGAGTTTCGAATTTCACCGAAGTTTTGGAACAATATTCCACTGTTGATTCAAACCTGCGTGGTGTGGCCATGCAACAACAGGTGCACCAGATACAGTTTGAGACTTTTCGATATCGATAACTTTATTTGCACCTGGACATAATATATATAGGCCATCCAATTGCCATTGTTGAGTTGTTCCCATATTTTTTGGCCATACAATTAGATTACTTTCCTGAATACCACTGTCGATATCGATCACCATTTCAGTAGCCATATTTCGAATGGTTCCATCTTGATCGAAAAACCATAGTTGACTAGATGGATCTTCTCTAGTTCTATTTTTCATAGGATATACTACAACAGGTGTACCTGGTCCAGCACTACTACTATTATAAATATCAAGTACATAACTGTTCATTCTGGATTGAATATAATAACCTAGAATACAATTTTCGATTATCATTGAAAGAAAATAAGCAAACTTATGTATATTGTATATTTATAATATATTGTTAAACACAATGAAAAATGACTATTAAAGCATATATAACAAGAAAAGTGATCCTACTCTATCATTAACCTCTCACTGTTCCATCAGACCCGTGACAAATAGATAGCATGAGTAAAACTCTCTGTCTTTTATAAATCGCGGTGAAAATATCGCTCAAATTATCAAGTATTACAGAATGTGATAGACACTTATAATTTTTTCAGCCTAGTATCAGAAAAACTATGATATAATTATATATAGATGTTGGAAAAGCTGTAGCTAGATTATGATAGATGCACATCAGAAAACATTTTGCAGCTTGAATTGCGCGACTTGAATTTTATTTGTTTTATGAAATGCAACTCCTAATGAATGTTAAAGAGAATATAGCAAAAAAAAATGAATGCCTATTTTCCACCTTGGTCTACAGATCGTCACACATACTATATTTATATGAGGATGAAGGCGCATGTTTGGGTGAGAAGTTGATCGGATAGATGTGCAAATCAGGATGTCTACGTAGTCTGAAGCGTGAGTCCAGGATTAGCATCTATTAGGATCTTGCTCAGAAGTGCTTACAAATCTTACAAGACAATATCAATTCTAATCAAAATCTTGATAAGAAAGTATAATGATTTAGTTAGAACCTTTGATGACTATTGTTTACTGTAAACAATCTAAATAGTTAAGATGTTTGAAGATTAATGTTTTAAAGCCTATTGAGAATTCGATTTTTTAAGGATTCAATCAAGATTTAGAAATGATTCTATTGAGTATCCTTACAAAAATGAATTTAAAATTTTTTTTGCGCTAATTTGTGTTTATACAAAACTCAAGTAGAAATTTCTATTTAAGTCAAAATTTGAGATACTGAACATGAAAGTTTTACACAATAATATGCTACATTCTAGTTGGTTTTAGAAAATCTGACAGGATGTAGACAGAAACTTCTATTTCAATTCAGAATCATTGGAGTTCTGGCAAGATCCTAATCTAAAAACAATGTAAACTTGCTTACTGTCCTTCAAAGACTTTTTTCTGTACCCTGCCAAAATCTAGATCATTTTGGTAGTTACACATTTATTTCATGATTTATGATTTTCTGAATTAATTCCTGATTTTAAATCTAGCGATATGCTGATCAAGATCTTAATTGAATCTTGCTTTAAACTCTGAGAAGATCTTAAAATTTCATGAGTACATTCTTTCTTCAAAATTTAGTCGTTTCCTCTGGAAGAAAAGGATGAATATTGAAGGACACAAAACGGAAACATTAAGGATTTCCGCTGTGACATGAAACTTCTAAGTGGACGGGTAATCTTCTATTAGACATATGATTTTTCTTTTGTCATTTCGAGAATCTCAAAAGTATGAACCTTGAAAAATATAAAACTCATTAATTTTTCATTGATGCTGGAATTGAGAAGACGAAATTCTTAATCTTAAACATGTTTCAATTTAGTAATTATCGATTCCATTTTTAACTAGAAAGCTATTTCTTTCTACTAACCAAAAGGCACACGTGTTCCGTCAATAATGGTCATAAGTACAGTTCCAATGTTTGCTAATATGGCATCATCATTGTCAGGCGCTTCAGCAAATAATTCACATAGGTTAGTTGATTGATGAAAATTAATGGTACGACATCGTTCTTGAGTTAAGCAAGCAGTCTGACAATATAGCAATCTAGACACCAAAATTCTGGCTAATGGATAACAATTTATATCAGGACAACGAAATTCCATATCGATCATTGATGACATCATCATCGAACGTACAATTGCTGAAGATGAATGTGTGAAAGCAATGAGAAGAAAAAGTAGAACAAATTTTCTCCACACCATAGAACATGAAGTCTGAAGTCGTTGAAATAATTGCAACTGTTTCTGATGGTAACAATAAGTTCATTATTTTATGAGAAAAAAATGTGGAAGAAAAAAAATACGTTAGATATTCAATTTACAGCACCTTGGTCTCGCCGACACTCGGTCGATAGACGGCACTTTTGTCACTCTTTCTTTTATTTACAATTTTGTTTTCTTCTCTTCCATAACTAATCGCATTCTCACTTGAAAATTAAAATTTTTCTCACAGTCTTTGTATATGATATTATAATGTGAGAAAAAGATAATAGCTAACCTAAACGACTAATAAAGATTTTTCTTTGAAGCAAGTACTATTTGCAAATTACTTGATCATAGAATTTCTACTTCTTTCTTCAAATCTAGAATGTTTTGAAGTTACAGACAAATTTGCAAAATCTTTGATGGTATCATTTATCAGCTTTACTTCAGAAGATTTCTCCTGAACATAATATCAATACAGTTTCTACCAACATGAGTTAACTTCAATAGAAAAAGCATTTTTTTTTGTTTATCAAGATGTATAGAGCTGATCGAGAACTAGGAAATGTTTTAAAAGATATACTGAAAAATATACTTCTACTAGAGATTTTTTTGAAACATTACTGTTAAAGTTATCGTGAGGCGCATCTATTTCTTGGCCTCCACTTCAAGAAGAATTGGTGCAGCTCTTTGATTTACATCATGAAAATGAATCATTTCTTACTTTAATTCGTTTAGATAAATATCATTGCGAATATCGAAAAATACTTTATTTTTGCATATTGAACGTCTCAAATAGCATTTAAAAGACATCATCTTATAATTCTGGCTTTTGTGTGAGAAGCATGACATCATTCATTTTTTGACAGTAGCTTGCAACTATTGAGCTGTCTCACGAAAGTACAGAAGACACATCATTTCCGTCTAATGATCCAAAATCGTATGATCGGTACTAAGTTCATACTCGAAACTCAGAAGACTACCTTTTTACTTACATCAACATTGAGTAAACATTCTTATATACTTTAAACAAGACAGATATTGTTAACTGCATTATCTGTTAAGTACTCCTAAAATTTTCACTTAAATATATTATGAATATGCAATTTAAATATGGTTTTTTTTCTACATTTGAATGAAAAAAAATTCTTGTCTAATTTTATTTACCATTTTGTTCATAGTATGTGTAATGATAAACGGGATTGAGTAGCTTACCACCATCCTCGGTAATGATGTTTATTGAGCTACTTCACATATTCAGAATGTAACTACTTCATATAAAACACATGCTTATATAGGCGAGAGCAAGAGAGAGAGAGAGAGATGAGCACAGGAAAGAACAATAGAGGGACACAATATGGTTTTCAATTAGAAAAATTAAATATTTTGCTACTCTTTCAAGATTTAAATGATATTTATTTTTGTTTAAAAGACCTAAATGAAAGTAAGCTTTTATTCGACTAGATCTTTTTACACTTCATTTCTGTGTTGAGAAAAGATAATGTCATGAAGCAACATCTTTTTGCTTATTTTAACATTGTGTGCACTAAAATGATCGTAAAAGAATGAATGGAAACAAATGTCGCAAGTATGTTAGGATAAAAAGTCCGGATAGATATTGACTTTAATGTGAAATCATCGTATATTCTGTATTTCTTATAATGACGGACAAACCTAGGGTTACAATCAGAACACAAATCGATTCTTAATCAACTTTAATTTGATTTTAACCATAATTTTGTTACATGAGAATCATGGAGCTAGGCATCCCTCAGTACCAACATGCTGCTTTTCAAAACTAAAAATGCATGATATCATTAGATACGGAAGTTTTTGTTAAATAGTGTGTGAGTATGGACAACTTGAACATCTCCGACTCAATTCTCCCATCCATACCCAATCATAGATGATGCATGAACATATAAATCAGTCAAAGCATTATTTTATTGATTAAAAAAACAAGTATGATACGTGTACTCAGTGACGCAACATCCACTTTTCTCCTTTTGTCGATCAAGTATGTTGAAAAATTCAAATCATTTTACTTCCTATATAAATATTACAGCAGTCTCAGTACCTTTTCGGCTTTCTCGAAGACGAAGCATACCAGAATAAAATATTTTCAATTGTTGAAGTATATGTATTTCTACCGAGCGTACATAGATTAGTCAGTCATGAGAAACTGAAGACGATTTTACACAATCTAGAAAGTGTGAGCGTGGGTAGGTGTCAAAGTTAGCCTTCAGTTCATAAACAATCCGTAAATTTTTCCCAGTATCTAAAATAATAAATCCCTAGAAATATTTCTATAGACTAAACCGATTCTGTTGTAGATATTCCAATCTTCATTCTCGGTGAATATCGAATCAAACAGTGCCACGTATACTTGTTTGGCTTTGTCAGAATATTCTACATTAATCAGCAAAGTTCCTTATCGATGCCATCCTATGGATCTTGGATGAGTATGGGTCTGTTCTTTTTTCATTTACACCCACACTCACACCCTGCACTGTTATTACATCTTGTTCTTCTCTCGGATGTGTATGGTTATAAGTGCTGTTATAACAATCAAAATAGGAGAAACATTGATTAGATCAGTTCATTTTGATTATAAAACTTTTGAGAGCCCTCATGGTTATCATATTCAAACTTTGATCTTGTTGCTGTAGCTCCCTAAAATCTAATAATAATTTTCGAAAAAAAATCAAATTTACCCTCGAATAGGGTATGGGATGTGGGTGTGAGGTGTGAATCTCAATTTTACCTGCACCCACGTTCTCAAGCTTTTTTCTCACTCTTTGGTCGAAGAGAAACATCTTCTAATTCTAGCACTATACTACCGTCGAAGATACTTTTCATTCACCTACTTCTACTTTACTGATTAGGGTACGATAGTTTTATAGCTCCTTACTGCAGTGCCCTGCAGATTCTTCCGAAAAAAAAAACAGTCGTCCGACTCGTACATATGCAGGAACAATGCAAGACAAAGCAATCTTTCTGTAGAACAGATCCTGTGTTCTAGAACGTTCAACGATCCGTACATTATATGTTATGAACCTCAGTACAATATTTCTAGAGTGAACT